CTCTTCATGGTCCCCTGCTGACCCTCCCTAGAATGAGTATTACTGCCGCCTGGACTTCCTGTGGAAGAAAAAGCTGAGGAAGGAGCAGGAAGAGACAGAGACAATGGAGAACCTGACCCGGCTGCTCTTGGAGAATGTGCTCCCTGCACACGTGGCCCCCCAGTTCATTGGTCAGAACCGGCGCAATGAGGTAATTCCTTATCTCTGGCTCCTAAGCCCCAGATGCCATAGGGAGTATGTTTGGATGAAAGCCTGGGCCCTTGTCCCATCCTCTCTGGACTCCCCCACAGTGGGTCAGACATTCATCAAGCCCTGTCCCTGTCAGGCAGGTGCCTCCATTTTTCACAAGATTTTGAACTCTGTCTTTGGTGAGGACAGAATTTCTGCATTTCAAGTTCTTACTTGGGAGCGTGTCTTTTCCAACTCATTACCACTCCATACGTTTCTTAAGTTTAGTCACGTGTTGATGATAGTTGTCTGGAGGATGTAATTCATCCATCTCTCTAGACTTAGTTTCTAATATGGTAGCCATTAGCTGTATATGGCCCTTCTAATTTAAATTTAAATTAATTAAAATTAAAAATTCAGTTCCTCAGTTACATTAGCTACATGTCAGGTACTCTATAGCCACATACGATTAGTGCCCATCATATTGGACAGCACATGATGGCAGAAATTCCTGTTGGATGCTGCTGCTCTAGATACTCAGAAATCTTGCTACCATCAGACCACTGGAAAGTTATTGAATTTTGCACTATCTTTTTTGTGCCACCATCACCTGACCCTCTTTACTGTGGAAATATTCTTGTCATATACTAGAGGAAGTTAAAAGAAACACTTCAAGAGCTATTTCACAGACTTATGTCCCTACCACCTACTCTCTGATCTCAAAATCAGAAGTAGTTCTACTTCTGGTTTCTTCTCTTGTGGACACAGGAAATTTTGTAACTGGTTCTGTTTCTTTCTTCACATTGGCTGTTAGAAAACTCAGAACTGGAATCTAGGATTAACAAGGACTTCATGGCACCCATTTTGTGAACTAATCTCAGCCCTGCTTCCATCTTTATCATTTTACTCTAATTTTCCCTTTTTCTCATACTCACTGTTGATGCTTTATTTTGTGTTCCAAACTTTGGCTATTTTTGTAAGCTGATTTATCTGACTTAACATCTTTTAGCAATAATTTAGCAATAATTCCCACTGACATGATCCCGAGTCTAAGAGTGAGTCCCTTCATATATATAGCTATGAGGTTATCCTGACCCCAAATCTCTTGTCTTTCCTGGAATCACAACAACACCAAATCTTTGATTCCTGAGTCATATCCCTAGGGTAACCTGGCCCTACTCCTTTCCCTCCTTCTCAGTGCTTCTTAAATAGAGGGACAAGGAGTGTGGCTTCAGTGAGGAGGACCCCGTACAGACCCAGAAAGGGAAAGCACATGACATACACCCCTCCCTCACCTCAGCCTCCTGCCCCCTCCAGGACCTCTACCACCAGTCCTATGAGTGTGTTTGTGTGCTCTTCGCCTCAGTCCCGGACTTCAAGGAGTTTTACTCGGAATCCAACATCAACCACGAGGGGCTAGAGTGTCTGCGGCTACTCAATGAAATAATTGCTGATTTTGATGAGGTGACAACTCCAAAGGCCCCCCAGGACCTGTGTCCTGGATTCTGGAATTTCCACTAGTACCTCCTTCTACTTTACTTTCTGGCCAATTCTATCCACCACTCACAGTACCCCCTCTCTTCCTCTGATACCACATATCTACTCCCTCCAGCAAATTGCTGACTATCAACTCTCTTCTTCCTACCACCATCCCCTACTCTACAGCCTGGTCCTTTAGCCTCCAAAGGCCTGAGGCTGCACTTCTGGGAGAGGGGAGGGTGAAAGCAAGAGAGACTAGAGACAAGGCCTCTTCTCTGTACAGCTGCTCTCCAAGCCCAAGTTCAGTGGGGTGGAGAAGATCAAAACCATTGGCAGCACCTACATGGCAGCCACAGGCTTAAATGCCACCTCTGGACAAGAGGCCCAACAGGTATAACAACCCTTCCTTACCTACCAACCTTCCTTTGGGCTCTCACTGGTGGTCCCATGAGTGGGACTTATTCCTGTGCCCTCATTGGCCCATCCTGGTGGGCGGGCCCATTGCCAGGATGCTGAGCGAAGCTGCAGCCACCTTGGCACCATGGTGGAATTTGCAGTGGCCCTGGGGTCCAAGCTGGACGTCATCAACAAGCATTCATTCAACAACTTCCGCCTGCGTGTGGGTGAGAGCCCCCCCCTTGTTGGGGCAGTGTGGTATCTCCTCACCTTCCCAAGCTCTCCCCACTCCAAGTGCTTTGTTCACTGCACTGCACCCCATCCCTGGACCCCCTCGCCAGACTCACTCCTATGAATGAAGCATAAAGCTGCTGGGCCAGGAGCTAAAAGGCATGCCCCCCTCCTTTCCCTCAGACCCAATCCTCCAGCCCCAGAGACCCCTCCTCTCCTTTAAGTCCCCCCAGGTCCTTCCTCCTTCCCAGTTCCTTTAGCTTCCTCTTCCATTTTCCCTCTTCAAAGTTCCCCCCATCAAGCTGGGCACAGTGGTGCATGCCTGTAATCCCAGTGACTGAGGCTGGAGGCTGAGGCAGGAGGATCGCAAGTTCAAAGCCAGCCTCAGCAATGGCAAGGCACTAAGCAACTCAGTGAGACCCTGTCTCTAAATAAAATACAAAAAAAGGGCTGGGGATGTGGCCCAGTGGTCAAGTGCCCCTGAGTTCAATCCCTGGTACCAAAAAACAGTTCCTCCCATCAGGGTTCCTCTTTACCATTTTCCTTCTCAGGACTGAACCATGGACCAGTAGTAGCAGGAGTGATTGGGGCTCAGAAGCCACAATATGACATCTGGGGCAACACAGTGAATGTGGCCAGCCGCATGGAGACTACAGGAGTCCTTGGCAAAATCCAAGTAACTAAACCACATTGGAGGCATGTGGGGAGGGGGATAAGGATAGGCATGCCCCATACTCCCTCATACCGCCCCCTCCAATTGCAGGTGACTGAGGAGACAGCCCAGGCTCTGCAATCCCTGGGCTATACATGCTACAGCAGGGGTGTTATCAAGGTCAAAGGCAAAGGGCAGCTCTGCACCTACTTCCTAAACACAGACTTGACACGATCTGGACCCCCTTCAGCCACCTGGGCTGAGACCTCTCATCCCTTCTAAGATCCTCAATAAAAAGACTCTGGAGGGCTGGGGTTGTGGCTCAATGGTAGAGTATTTGTCTAGCATGTGTGAGGCACTGGGTACAATTCTCAGTTCCACATAAAAATAAATAAAATAAAAATCCATTGACAACTAAAAAAGATATTTAAAAAAAAGACTCTAGGATGTCTAATGCCAATTGATGTCAGAAGTGTGGATGTAGCTGAGAATCACCCCTCAGTTTCTTTTTAGGTTAAACTGAGTATGTATACATGTGTGTACACATGTACCTAAGCAAGTGGGAAGGGAGTGATTGTTTTCACTAGCTCAGGAGAGGACTCTCTTGGCCAGCCTGCCTACATACTAACCTGATTCCAATATTTTGTATACCTTGAAAACTTAAAGAATTTTAGGCACATAATTCAAAACAAAGATATGTCCTTTCCTGCCCCTACTCACAAACACTGGAAAGAATTTCCAGGAAAATGACATGGAACTTTTATTCATTCAATATAAATGCAGAATGGGCAAGAGGCCTACAAAATAATCTATTAGGTTCCTTCCAGTCTCAGCTGCTATTTTCAAATTGTCCCACCATGCTTTCTTGTAAAGACCTGTAGACAATTTAGGGGTTCTCCTGTACTCAGGGCCATTGGATGACTGCCTTGCTTGCTTCTGCATCTTTCTATGCAAATGCTGATATAAAACATGTGACTTAGGTCAATGCTTCATTCTCACCTGCTCATATTTTGAAGTCCACAGGAGATACCTTAATACTCTGCATTTGTTACAGATGTTGCGCATGGACTTTTGGTTTTCCTATTCTCTCTCTCTCTCTCTCTCTCTCTCTCTCTCTAATGGACTCACATTGGTTCTTTGTTTGTTTGCTTGTTTTGTCTTGTTTTTTATGGGGAGGATCCACAGAACACAGCACTGCCGCTGCTGCTGTCATCATCCTAAAATGTCATCAGAACAAAGCTGGGCCAAAGGTGCTCCAAGACAACAGTCACCCCTATGAAGTACTAGCTCATCCCTCTCACTTAGGGGAGTCTTTGTTTCCTGTGGGTGACCATAGCCACAGAGGGCCCTCAGGCTCACTCTGTACCAGGGTATATTGTGGGGCTGGTAGATGCTGAGGTGCAGAATTCTAGGAGACAAGATGTAATGACTTTCATCTCAAATGAGAGCTCCTTGGGAAATGGAGGAAAGGAAGGTAATGCCCTAGACCATCTGCTGAGAGGATAAAGATTCCTAGCAGGAAGCTGGACACTTAACAAGGACACTTACCAGGGTGTCAGGGAAGATGTTTCACAGCAGCACATTATCTCAGAAGGTTCCCTGAGTCATAAGCCTGCAATGAGAAGCCTACATGGGTGGTCTTTTTTGACAGTCTCCTTCAGTAGTCTGTGAACGCTGTTCAAAGTGGGATCTGCAGATCACCTACCTCAGAATCTCCTTTTGTTCTCTTTCCAAAACTGGAAATCACAGGGAACGAAAGAATGTGACTCTCAACAGTTGAGAGAAATCTCACCATGGTGCCTGTGAGCACTCCTACACCCCATAACACACGTGCCCCCACTCACAGGGTTGACGATTTCAGACTTGAGTTTTAATTGTAAAGCTTCCTGCAGGAATCTGGCCAGAGAATGCTCTCTCATTCTGCCCTGACTTGCCCCACCCCACCCTCTTCTTTCCGCCCCACCCGGTCTCCCGCGCAGATTCTTCTCCTCGGGTACAGAACTGGGTCAGGCAAGCGTGGGATTCTCCGAGGAGGAAAGCGAGCTTCCTTCCACCAGATCTCATATAGTTAGCTTCATTGGAGAGGCTCAGAGGAGGCCGTGATGCTCTCGGCGGGTGCAGGCTCCGGAGAGAGAATGGCTCCCTTTACGGTCTGGCCCATGGTGCCGCCGCGGCGTGTGCTGGACACCTCAGAGCCGGTGCCCTCCAGCAACTTGGCGACGAAGCCCAAGCCGGCCGAGCGCAGCAGGCCGCCGCCGGCGCAGGCGTACAGCACCGGGTTCACGCTGCTGCTCAGGAAGGCCAGTGCGATGAGCGCGTGGCGGGCCAGCTGCAGCCGCTCCCCGGTGGGACCCGACCCAGCGCGCAGACCCGCTAATGCGCGGAATGCCTCGGCCAGGTTCACCGCGTGGTAGGGCAGCCAGAAAGCGGCGAAGGCCAGGATGATGAGTGCCACCAAGCGGCCCGTGCGGCGGCTGCGACGGAAGCGCCGCGCCCGCAGCCTGCGTCCGATGTCGGAGTAGCTGGCCACCACGGCCAGGAAGGGCAGCAGGAAGCCGGTGAAGGCCTCGAAGAGTAGATGAAATGCCCTGTGCCTTTCGTTGGGGTACTTCGGGAAGCACACCAGGCTCCTGTTGTTCAATCCCAAACTCACCGTGCGGTATGCAAGAGCTGGCGTGGCCAGCAAAAAGGACACCACCCAGATAGCTGCCAACAACGGCCGGACAATCTCTTTGGTGCGCAGCTTCTGGGACGTAAAGGGACGGGCCACTGCCAGTGACCGGTCCAGACTCATGACTGTAATAAACAACACACTAGCATACATGCTGACTCCACAGATATAGTGGCACAGGCGGCAGCCGGCCACTTTGAAACTCCAGGTGCCATGAGCCAGGAAGTGCAGGAAAAAGGGAGCAGTGAGCAATACGGCCAAGTCGGCCAAGGCCAGGTTCAACACCAACAAGGCAGTGACAGAGCGTTTGTGCATCCTTTTCAAGATGCTCCACACCACAAAGCTATTGCCAGGAAGCCCCACAGCCAGTGCAATTGACAGTAAGATGATAGCCAACAGAGATATGAACATGACACCTCGTGAGGAGGATGCAGCAGGAGATGTAGTGTTCGTGGCCATCATAATGACCTGGAAGTGAGGGTGGACACTCATAAGGGTAGGAAGCCAAAGGTTTCCTGACTCCCTGACACACTTAGCCTGAAAATGCTGATCTGTCTTCAAGATCAGCATCATCAGAGGCACCTCTGAAACTGCCCCATCACCACCAACTGACCTGACTTAAGGGGATCCGGTTGAGTAGAAAAACTAGTTTCATAACTGGGCCACAGGGCCCCTTCCTGTTCACAGACCCAATTACAAAATAAACAGCCATCCCCAGTAACAACATTTTCATATCTTTTCAGACTCCTTTCCTCAAGCCCAGAATCAAACTGGGAGATTTTCCTCACCAGTGCTGTACCTTTTGAAAGCACCCTTGTCCCCTGCCTGAGCCTTAGCCCCTCAGTGCCTTTGACTTCTTCCAATCACCTTCCCACTCTGACCCCAGAGACTTCCAGGGGTTCACCAGAAATAACAGGGATGGGGATGGAGTTAGTGGGTAGGCTTTGAGGTCAAATCCTCCCAACTCCGTTTACACTGGTTGGGCTTTCTTTAGAGATTCCTTTGCACGTTCTCTCATGGCTGTAGCTGGTCCCCCACACCACCTTCCCAGTTTCTAGGATACTTACTTATAAGCTTTGCCAAACAGCTGAAAGCTGATGCCAATCCCAGAGCCAGGGCAAGGTGGTATAGCTTAATCTGGATCTGTCCCAGTGTCGGAGGCGTGGGCCTTGGTATGAGTGCTATCAGCTAAGTCAACCAGAGAGGAAGTACCACAGAACAAGGGAGGGGGAAGACACATCTTCCTGAGGGTGGGGCTGAAACCCCCACCCCCTCCCTTAACTGGGAGGAAGGGGGATAGTCTTTGTGCTCCAGGGCAGCCCAGCTAGAAGGAGGACTCCTGAGGGGTGGGATGCAATGAAAAAGAACCCAGGAAAGGGCATTAGAAGAGGAAATAGGGGTGCCAGTATGAGTTGGCTGGGGTGTGGTCTAAAGATGCGAGTCTAGACTGGAAAATTGAGCAAAGTTATGAATTATAGGAGGAGGGAAGAAGGCAGGAGAGGGGAAACAGGCTCAGACTGAAAGGCTAACATGCCAATATCCAAATTTTTTCCTTAAATTTTGCATATATTTCACAGGTACAATGTAGATCTTTAGATAAATGAGATGTGTAGGTTGAAAATGTAAGAGATTTTGGGTCTGGATGTGAGTTAGGTAACATTGTGATTTAAAGAGAGCATGTTGGTAAACCAAAGAGGGCAGCATCCTGTTCTTGGCTTCAGTTGGAGCCATGATCCTGCTTGTGGGAAAAGAGCCCTCTCCCAGCACCTACCATTCCTCCCTTCATTTAAGGGGATTGGTTCCATTCTATGTTAACCAGTTCTCCATTCTCTGTTGTAGAAACCAGTCTAAGTGGTCTTCTTGGTACCATACAGAATGCAAATTTCTTCCCCTTCCCCCAACCACTTGCCTTATGCTTGCCCATGTGGCTACCCTGCCAAGTTTAGATTTTTAAGAATAAGGGTCTGGGCAAGGAGACCAACATCACTTCTTTCCTGTATTCCCACAGACTTAGGTGGTCCAGTTCCACTTGTGAAAAGTAGAGGCTGAACCCTGGGCTGAACATGAGAAGCAGAAGCAAGGGCACAGTGACAAGAAATGCCTCACACCAGCTCTACCAAGAGAGAAATCAAGGAATATGAAAAGAGAAAGAGTCCCTTCTTTTTCCTGAATGGAAGGATGCCTTTTCTCCTTGAAATCTCCTGAAGAACATAAAAATTAAGAATACCTTCCTGCTTCTGTTTCAACCCTGTCACTTCTCAAGAAAGTTGCAAGGTCCCTGATACCTCACAGTGCTCCTACTTGCTCTGCTTTGAGAAAAGCCAGAGCAGAGTCGACCCAATAACTGTCAGGCAAAGGATATGATGAAAAGAAATGGGCTGAAACCACAGCAAGAACTGAAGGCAGGGCTGGGCTGGGGCTGAGTGGTAGAGCGCTTGCCTAGCATGTGTGAGGCTCTGGGTTCAATCCTCAGAATCGCATAAATAAATGAAATAAAGGTATTGTGTTCATTTACAACTAAAACAATTWAAAAAAAAAAAAACTGAAAGCAGAGTTGAGGAAGGGCTCTCTGACCAAGCTGGGTGAGAGAGATGGGGAACATGTAACAGGAAGTTAGGGAACCTCTTTCTGCCCTAGAACACCAGGACCGGAAGAAGCCTGTGTTTGGAAAAAGAAGCTCTTGGCTCAGAGCTCCAGGGTCAACAAGAAGCCCTTCAGACAGAAACTGGGCTGTCTTTGCCTCCCTTCTCAAGCTACTCCCACCCCCATCTTCCTTGAAGGTCTTTCTTCTCCCATCAAGGACTAGGTACTCTGAGCACAATCCCTGTCACCCTAGTTCATTCCAACCTTAGTTTTGGTGACCCTGGCATGACCCTGGGGACTGGATTTCTTTTGCTGTCTTGACATCTGCCTGGAAGATGTGAAGAGTTACTAAAGCAGGGCCTGGCTTAATGGCCAGAGTAACCACTCATGTGACCAACCATTTCAGTTTGTTAGGGGGACAACAGGACTGGGATAAGGGATTTACAGTGCTAATCTGAGAAAGTTCTGGACCAACTGGGATGAATTGGTCACCTGTGTGCTTGTGGATGGTCCCTGAAAACAAATCCAATGCTACACCCCCAAATTAAAAGTGTGAAGATCCAAACAGTTTTTAGATCCAGAAATAGAAAGATTCCAAAAGATAGGGCTAAGAAATATTGAAGGAGGAATTAGGAATAGCTGGCAGTCTTGGGAGAAGATAAAACTTAACAGAGAGGAGTGAGGAGGGGAAGGAGAAGAGAGGAAAGGAGAGGAGAGGAGAGGAGGAGAGAGGAAAGGAGAGAAGAGGAGAGGGGAGGGGAGGGGAGGGAAAGCCTCCCTCCCTGAAAAATTCTTCCTGTTTTCCAATATTCCTGTCATTCCCCATAATCCCTTAACTTCCAAACAACCCCTGGTGAAGCAAGTACAGGCTCCTGAGCTCTTTTTCAAGTTAAGTTGTTTTGGGGGTGGTGTTAAATGGTCAGAGAGGGACATAAATCTCAGATTTCCAGGCCCCTACACCACTGCCTACCCATATGCCTCTTTGTACCAACAAGACAGGAACACATTCCTTTCAATCCCCACAGATTTACTTTCTCCTTGAAGATACAGTTTCTTCCCCCAGGCAGCTTTGTTAGGAGTCCAAAGAATGGATCTCATCCTCATCCCCCATCCAAACTCCCACACCTTCCCTTGCTCTTTCTCCATTTGCCAGGTAGTTCTATGGGTAGGCCTAGGGGAACCAGGCCACCTGGGCTGAGGAGAGCARCATAAAACACCACTGAAGGCTGATACTGTCCAGCCCTGGCAAGGTTGATCTACCTGGGAATTATGTGGCTTTAGTACAACTCACACAGGATTAACCACCAAAGGGGAAACTCACTTAAGTCATCATCTAATGACTTCCCAATGTATTTCACAATAAAGTCACTGGCAATAAGTAAGCAGTGCTGGCACATGGGTACATGACAACTTGCAAGCACACAGCATTTTTTAATAAGGGCCATCACTATCCTCAAAGTCCCTCCGTTTTGAGGAATCTGGACCTACCCCAGGTGTGTAATAATCCTACCCAGCCAGATCCAAATTAGTTGGAAAAGGGTCCCCAAATGCCTCAGAGGAGTGAGTTTCAGGGAAGATGAAAAGTGGTAGGGAAAAGCAGACATGGATGTAGGGTTTGATGTCAAGGATCCCATTCCTAACTGCCCCTCTCCACCCCACCCCCTGGGTCTCCATTGCCCTTTCCCGGCCCCACTACTTGTAGCCGGGGAGTAGTTCGTAACTCCATCGTACCCTCCCTAGAGCGACTTCCCCCTCGGGCTTCTCCAGAGCCCTCGAAGAGCCGTGTGAGGAACCGGGGACCCGCCCGAGGCAGCAGATCCCCAGCGGTGAAGACGTAGAGCACCGGGTTGACGCTAGAGCTGAAGAAGGCCAAGGCTGTCGTTCCAGCCCGCGCTGCCTGGCCCGCGCCGCCGAGCCTCGCCAAGGCACCTTCTGGTGGAGCGAGTGCTGCCACCGCTTGCAGTAGGTTGACTGCGTGGTAGGGAGCCCAGAGCAAGCCGAAGGTGAGCACGATGGCGCTCACCAGCCGGCCCACCCTCGACCCCTGCTTCCCAGACCCCCAGCGGGCGCCCCTCAACCGCGCCAGCGTCACGCTGTAACAGCCAAGCACTAGCCCAAAAGGAAGCACAAAGGMGGTCAGAGTCTCCAGGCTCAGGTGGGCGGCGGCGTGGGCGGGCGACGGGTGGCACAGCTGGCAGACGCGGTCCCCCCAGAGATGGCGGTAGACAGCGGCCGGGACAGCAAGCAACAAGGCGGCCAGCCAGACTGCCAGCAGTAGGCGACGGGCCAGAGCCGGGCTGCGCAACCGGGGCGCCAGGAAGGGGCGGGTGACGGCGAGGCAACGCTGCAGGCTGAGCAGGCCGGTGAGCAGCACACTGGCGTACATGCTGAGGGCGCACACGTAGTACACAGCCTTGCAGCCCGCCTGGCCCAGCGGCCAGGCTTGCCCGGTCAGGAAGGCTACGAAGAGCGGTGTGAGTAGCAGGACCGAGCCATCGGCCAGCGCCAGGTGCAGTACTAGCGTGGCCGCCAGTGGTCGCCCACGTGCGGGCCGCCAGCCAGCCAGACTCCACACTACGAAGCCATTACCGGGCAGCCCCAGCAGCGCCGCCAGCAATAGAAAGGCCGTTCCAGTGGTCCGTGAGGCCTTCCAGCTCAGCAGTGTCTCATTCCCAGGGGGCCGGTAGCAGACTGACATCCTTCTTCTCCTGCGGGGCTGGAAGAAGCCACAAAGGGGTTTCAGAAGTGGGGCATAAGTCCACATTGCCTCCGATGCTAGGTGAGAAGGAACTGTGCTTCCCTCCACTTCCCTGCAGCCTGCCCTTCTTCTCTCTGGGAATTTTGACATGGAGGATCCTGACCCCCAATTCAAATACCACTCCTTCTTAGAACCTAGATCCTCTGCTTCACCTCCTGTGAAGGTCAGGTGGCCCCACTCCTGGCACCTCCCAGAGCCCAGAAGTCCTAACTTTAGGCTGTCCTAAATTTACTCAGGCCCCCATTCCTAACTTTAGGCTGTCCTAAATTTAGGCTGTCACGACTACCATCTCCGCCCCTTAGAAGTGGGCAGTGTGGAGAAAAAGGGCATGGGCAGATCTACTTACCCAGCTAGGAGCAGGTAGGGCTGGGGGCCTTCAGAGGCCTGGGAAACTGAAAGGTGAGGCAGCAATGCATCAGGTGCCAATGTCTATCACATTTGCAGAGGGTGAGGCAAGAATGGGGAGGGACAAGATGAGGCTCATCCTGGCCTTTTCCTGGGGCCCCTCCCTCACCCCATTCTTTCCCATCACTAATAGGTCCAGACGTGTGGGAGCCTGCCTCCCTAGGAAACAGGATGAAGCTGAGGATGCAGAAACACTCAGTTGATACTTGACCCTGAACCCTGCTTTTTTTTTTTTTTTTAATACATGGACACAATATCTTTATTTTGTTTACTTATTTTATGTGATTCTGAGTGTAAGGTCAGGCACCAGTGAAGAAAAGGAGGCAGACTAAAAGCTGCTGAACAAGGCTTTATYGAGATTCGCTCTGGGCAAGACTCTCCAGTACAACAGAGTGGTCCGGTGGAGTTGCACCCAGTCTCAGCTGGATTGTAATTTTATCAGGTTTGGGGCAGGAAGGAAGAGCTTGCKATAGGAAAGGGCTTGTTCTCCTGGGGTTGGTCTGGAGATCTYGCTGAATTCCATGTCCTTCCAGGATCAGTCAGGAGACCCCACTGATTGACAGATGATTATCACTGCTTGTCTGTTGGCACCTGATTGGTTGTTGGCTGTTTGTTCCCTTAGCCACTTCAACTGACCTAACACTGAGGATCAAACCCAGTGCTTCACATATGCAAGGCAAGTGCTCTGTCACTGAGCCACAACTCCAGCCCCTGCTTTTGTTCTTGTCCCTTCTTCATTTCTGCCCCCCCCAATCTTTCCAGCATGCCTTCTGCAGTGCTTATGCTTCCTGGCCTCCTTGGCATGCATTCAGCAGAGGTGACCCACACAACTCAGTTTCTCAGCTGCTCTCACTTGGCCTGTTTTCAGCCTCCCAACCCTGCTGAGTTCCCTTTTTCCTCAGCTCCCAGTCCACCCCCAACCATCTCTTGTTTTGGGAGTTTCTCTCCACCCTCTGGACTTTGGCTGGGTTGTCAATGACAACTTTTCAGTGTAAGGAATGGTGCTAGGTGTGTTGAGGAGGAGACAGAAATGCATGGAGGTTTAAGGGGTGTTGTGGTTTGGATCTGAATGTCCCCAAAAGCTCATGGAGGTATGGCCCCTATTACAGCAAGATTTAGAGGTGGAACTTTTAAGCAATGACTAGGGTTCTGACCTTATATAAATCTATTTGCTGGATTAATCCACTGATAGCTGAATGGACTACTGGGAGGCTGGACATTGTTGGAGGAAGTAGATCACTTGGGCATGGCCTTGGACTATCACTGTCCCTGGCCTCCTCTCCCCTCTTCCTCTTCTCTCTCTCCCCTTCCCCCTCCCTCCCTCACCCCTCCCCCTCCCTCCTCCTTTCTGGCTGGTTGGTTCTCACAGGCTGCATAGCTTTTTTCCATCAGGCCCTTCCACCATGATATTCTGTCTTACTTCAGGTCCAGAGCAATGGAGGCAGCTAACAATGGAATGAGACCTCTGAAACTGTGAACCAAAATAAACTTTTCTTTCTCTAAGTTGTTCCTGTCAGGTACTTTGGTCACAGTGATGAAAAGCTGACTAACATAAGGGGCTTGCTTATAACCTGGCTGGGGAATCATTATTCACAACCACAAGATCACACTACCAATCTTTACAAGGATATAAGAAGAAAGGAAAGGGTGCAGTTTGTGTAGAGACATATTGAAAAGAAGTTCTCTCTGCTGGGAGAGGTCAGGCAAAGATTGGAAATGAAGAGATTGGCAGGGAGTGAGGGAGCAACAGGGCCCAGCAGATCAATAGAGTGGAGGGAGGGGGAAAAGAAAGTCCTCTGCCCAGTCAACAGCCCAAACTGTAGTTCTCTGGGAACAAGGACACCAAAAGCATTGTCTTAGTTTGGTTCCTCAATAGCAGAGCCTGAGATAAGGGCGTGGGTATAGGTAATCCTGTATTTGAAAGGTTGACTCAGGAAGCAGAGGAGGAAGCAAGATAAAAATATAGAGAAGCTGGGTGTGATGGTGCACACCTGTGATCCCAGTGACTCAGGAGACCAAGGCAGGAGGTTTTCAAGTTTGAGGCCAGCCTCATCAACTTAACCTGTTGAAGCTAAGTTGAAACCCTGCCTCAAAATAAAAAATAAAAAGGGTTGGGGATGTGGATCAGTGATTAAGCACCCCTGGGTTCAATCCTCAGTACCCCCCACACACACCAAAATAGGTACGAAAGAAGAAACCCATAAGAGCATGGCATGGCATTACATTCCTTTGGTAGGCACTGGACCTACCTCTGGGAAATGTACAGAATGCCAAGAACAGGAGACCAAGGTGTGTCCACTGTTGGAAGACTGTCCTGAAGCATTAATGCCACTATAAGTGCCCCTGTGCTTGTAGGGGTTTGAGTAAGCTGACAACTTCTGACAAGGATTCTTACATCTGGGCTAAATTCACAGCTAAAGTCACCCCAAAAGTAGCAAGAGAGTTCCCACAAGGTATCCCAATCATCCCAACATGGGGCTAGTTGGGAATCCAAAGAAACACTYAACTCCAGGGTGTCTGGTCCCAAGTATTTACAGAGCAGGCTGCAGTATATCTTTATGAAAGGGAGAGTAAAAGATGTTCCACTTATCCCCACAGTAAGGGCATCAGGGTACAGAGTTCATGAGAGGGTTTAAGGAATTTGGTTCAGGGCTGAGGCTAGTTTCTTTCAGTGTTTTGGGCAACAATCTAAACACCTTTATCAGTATCTTGCCAAAGCCTTGAGCCTGCCTAAGAAATGCAACTGGCTGGGTCCCTGAGTAGTGAAGGAACTCCATGTTTCTCAGGAAAAAAAAAAAAAAAAGTTGGAGGATCTGGGGGACCCTATAAGGTTCCTTCCAAGGCAGGAGAAGAGGAATTGTGGTCATTTGAGGTGTTTAAGTTTAACTCCAGTTTGAGTCTAAGCTTTCATACAATGTTCATCCCACTGCAACTGAAATCAGAGATGGATAAAGCTGAAGTCCTGATGCCATCAAAGGACACCTCCTGCCCCATACACATCTCCTTCATGCCCATTACTTGGTGAAAGGAAAAAGATGGGAACAAAGGTCACTACTGAAGCAACAGTTCTGGAGAATGAGCCAAGAATATGTTGGCAAGCCCCTCTCCTACCCAGGAAAGAGCAGGTCAACAGAAAGGAGAGGGTCTCAGACAAGATCAGGATCCATCCTTTCCTCAAACCACTTCCAAACACTTGCCTCACCTCTCATTTTATCCAAGCCTTGCCCAAGCCTGTTTCCCACCCCATTTCCCCACCCTAAACCCATTTCCTCACCTTCTGCCCAATCTTTCCAGGAAGCTACAGCCCATGGCTTTTCCTGTAGGTGGAGCACAGAATAGTGCACCTTACATACAATACAGCTTCTCAGCAGCTGGGAGCCAGAAACTATTCCTAGAAATTCCCTCCAAAGAAATAAAACACCGGAGGTCACATTCCATCCTTTTTACCCTCACAAGGGCCCTCAGCACACACAGATGTGCACRTGCACACGCATGGGCACCTGCGCAWGTCTCACAGCCTTTTGCTGGGCAGTCCAACTTCTATCACCTTATCTAGGTCCCTCCTCYTTCTCTCCCCTTGGACTTTGTCCTTCGTACTGGCCAGGGAGGGGGGCCAGAGCTGGGCTTGACTCATTCCCCACCTCTTCAGGACTGAGAGCCCAGCTTTGTAAGAGAAAACGTCACTTCAGCCCCAGCACCACAGTGCAGTGTCCAATCCAGAGGCCCCAGGAAGGCAACTCTCCTACTTCCCTCTACCATGGAGTACTTCTCATCCCTGAACCCCAATGGCCTGCTCAGGTGATTACTAACTCTCCTCTCTACCCTCTAACTCTGGGGATATGGTTAGGTGGGGAACAAAACTCCATTCAGCCCCTAAGAGACTCACTTCCCCTCCTCCCCCTACTTTACACATTTGTCCAGTTCCTGAACTACTGGACCCATTCCAACGCCTCTCCCTTAGCTGATCTGCAAACCTAGGACCCTCCCTCTTTGGCTCCTCAGTCATCCCACCCCTCTTCCCTCTTCTTCCCAACTTTACAACCAGGGCTGTATCCAATATGAGCTCTGAGCTTGGCCGAAGGGTATGGACTTCAGCCCCACCGCCTCAGAGACCCTTCCGTGTCTGTGATCATAAGCGGACAATTAGGAAAGGTCTGACAGCTGCCACCCGCCAGGAACTGCTAGATAAGGTGAGTGAGCCAGGTTCCTATAACAGGGGCAGCCAAGGGGCTCAATAGTGACAACTTGWGATGACAGAGTATAAAGGGCTAAGGTCACATAGCTGTCCCTCCAAGGGCTGAGAGTCAATGGGGGCGGAGGTGTGACCCAAATAACTTCTGTTGAATTGGGGTAAATTTGGTTTTTTTCCAAGTTATGGGCTTTTCTCTGGGAATAGGGGAAGCAGTATATAGGGAGGGCTGGAAAATGGAATTCAGAAGTCAGTATGAAATGGTGATATGTATGAAAAACCAAATTCAAATTCTGATTTTACCCCTTCCTTGCTGTCCAAATCTTGGGAGGTGGGCTGAGGATGTGGCTCAAGCGGTAATGTGCTTGCCTGGAATGCGCAGGGCGCTGGGTTCGATCCTCAGCACCACATA